TGTTTTTTTTTGGGGGGGGAGTGGGGGTGAATCCTTGCTTTATTTTATAATCGTCTGAAAAATGAACCATCCGCTTCGTCTTGGAAAACTCTAACGTTTGAGATCCAAGTAGGGCTGTGTCTGGCAAGTAGGAACCGAATAATAACTACTCAATACAGCTGCAGTGCAGTTCTTAGAACGCTTCTCTGACATTTGAAGACTTCTAAGAAGTCGTAACAAACTGTCGTTTTACACATTTGGAACTTTTCTGGGATTACAAGTGTCAGTGCATCTGGTTTGGGATCGATTTTATTTTTGTTTCTGCGACACACAGAAGAACTGAGGGTAAAAGACATAACTCTAATATTTTAGAGTGGGCTATAAGAAAAGCACCGAGATGTTACAGAAGCAGAACGTTGTGTGCAGAGGAAAGAAATTACTTGACTAAAATCGATTTCAGAAAAGCATTGATTTTTTCCCCTGTATGGAAATGTGCTTACGCCAACCAACATTAATTGGAGGTTAAGACTACGTGATGACAGAAAATAATTGTTGAAACAAGACGTTAGCGTCTCAATGTGTCTTTGTTGTCTATGTAGGACAGAAGTAAAAATATAATACTGTCTTTTGTCATAATGATTAGTAAGCTGGAAAAGCACGAACGGTTTGAAGTGAAAGGGGTAAAAAACAACCAAATATTACTAACAATAGACTATAAAAAAATGTTCCAGCTAGTTTTTTACTTGTGAGTAATTTGTAGATTATAAGTTTGGTGCAAATACTGTTCTAAATGTGTTGAGTTGTTCCTATTCCTGGTTATCAAATCCAGATATCTTCAAATCTTTCTCAGCTGGAGACAGCTTCGAATATCTGGTGTGTGGGCACAGTGTATGTGCAAGTTAAAGAGAAATAAACCATTCCAATTGTCAAAGGTATTAAAGATGACTTTAACATTTTTATGACTTGATTGGGTTGCAAGTGCCGTAAAACTCTCACTAAAACTAAGCGATGGAGTGATGATGAGAACACACTGCAGTTCACTGACGGATTAAACCTAAATGGACGAGTCTATTATTTAGCTTACACTGAATTCATTGGCTGGTGCTGGACATTGTATGCAGCAGTGTTGAGAGTGTACTGGTGGATTGGATTGGATTCGATATAACCATGTTGGCAGAGGACGAGCAGAAGGAAGGATTGAACAAGGATAAGATGAGTGAGGAAGCTGTTTCCTCCCAGCAGAAGGAGCCACCCAACATGGTGAACCAGTTTCTAAAGCTGTTGCTGAGGTAATGGCTCCCCGAAAACGCTTTAAAAACAGTGTAATATTATGTGTTTTACACTCCCATCGAAACAACGTAGGATGTTTAGGAGATGACAGGGTCAAGCTGGGCTAAGAGGAGCGCAGCATCCGATCAGAAAGACAGATATACAAGATAAATATTTCTCCTTGCTCAGGAATCAAACTCAGGATGCTTGCTTTCGAAAGTAAAGCGTCTAATTGTTACTCCACAAAAGCCGGTTCACCGTCACTGACATGACTATTTTTTATTCTAATGAGTCCGAGCATGAGTGTGTATTGGCACTTTTGAGTCTTTGAATGTGAGTCCAAGTATGTTAAATTTGCGTGTTCAATTCTAGATAACTAAAGTATGTGTGTTTCAAATGGTGAAGAAAATAGCACAATAAATATTTCTCTTATGCCATCTTGTCCACAATGTCTTAATCTCACTATGCTTCTTTTGTCTGCTAGTTAGTCTTCCAAAAGGTGCTGTTAATTCCTATTTATACTAGTGTGCCCTCCCCAGAATATGGAAACCTGACAAGTGAGGTGTAGAAATTGTTCCATCATAACAAACACACTATTTCTCACTGTATTGATCACATTGTACGTCCCTTGGTGGGTGACGTATTTCGCTAATTGGGCTCGTGCCTGCCAGACAATGCCAGTGACAGCAAGTACAAGGAGTTCATCAACCGTCTGCACTGTGTCTTATCATTCTACTTTACCTGCAATGGTGCGTTAATTGCCTTTTTTGGATTTCTTTGTTTTGTTTGTTTTGGGTTGTTGTTTTTTGTTTTGTTTTTTTTTTGTTTTTTTGTATTATTCCTTCTCATGAATTGTGTACCGACGTCTGAGGTACAGCGGTTTGACACTTTGCTGTTGCACGCCGGATATCCATTTCGATTCGTGAGTGAGGAGAATAGTTTTTATCGAGTATCTCGTTCTCTCTGGTTTGGGTGTTATATCCCTCCCACTCAATCCTGGTTGACACTGACAGGCAGGGTCGGAAGTCCGCCGCCTGAATTATCAAATACACGTATATATATATATATATCCATATATATATATATATATATATATATATATATATATATATAAAGAAAAACATGATTGCGTGACTAATTTTTGTCTCTTTCTTACGTTAACTGCAGTCTTCTGCCCATTCCGTTTCCTGGTTAAAAGCTTATCTCTGCTGTGATCGTGGCCCTCTTTCAAGTACTTTAGTATTTTAGTTGGTATCTGTTCTTCCTCTTCTGTCAGCCAGTTGTTCCCCCTTTCCTATTTCATTCTGGGGTTGACAGTTGATCATAATATTATATTTTAATCATACTATCCTAGACAGGGCACTGTCATTGCCGCCGCTCTTTGCTCTCTATAAAAACATGTGCCGTTCTAGCGCGCAGATGAGCTTGCAAATGACGGGCACCACCCCCCCCCCCCAGGCCTGCTATAATCAAAAGCGCCCAAACTTGCCCTTTATTTGATTCCAGATAAAGTCAAAGGGTGTACTTCAATGTGAACTTCAAGGTGAACTGGAATTGCGTCAGAGTGCTCTGTTTTGCATATTATGATATAGATCTATTCCATTTACGGAGTGTTTTAGTATTCTCCCGTCATCCATATGATTGAGGACATGATATTATCGTGAAACACGACAGAATAATGTTGAAATCAAAGTTCAGTGTTTAGCATACTGTAAAACTCCATCAAACGTGGATGTCTCTCTTTGACTTGTCAAAATACGCGTTATATTTAGAAATTGTTCGTAATCCTTCTCATAATAATAATAATAATAATAATAATAATAATAATAATAATAATAATAATAATAATAATAATATTAATAATAAGAAGAAGAAGAAGAAGAAGAAGAAGAAGAAGAAGAAGAAGAAGAATAGTAATAATAGTTCATCCGCCTATGTCTAACGATAATCAATGCAACCTTAGTGGAGAATATTTCTCAAGCCAATTATAAGAATCAAAGGTTAAGATGACTTGTGGTTTTTCCTATGGCCAATGAGACCTATAGAGGCTGGTATAGAAAAATCCGCCACTTTCAAAAGTTCAATTCAGCTTAAGGGCTTCTCTCTTGGCATCACTGTGCAATGGCATCCAGTCTGTTTCAGGTAGTGTCTGAAAATAAAGTGCAATCACGTGCACGATCAGTCTCTAAGTCTCAGATCTCCCTCAGTTATAGGATACAATATGGGGGCATTGAAAGTGGATGGAGGGCGCAGTTTGTGGCTCCTACTTGTTCTTCTTCTCTCTGTTTTTTTCTGACGGTCTGCCTTACTCTTTTCGAGCACGAAAATACTTTCATTTTGTGGAAACGACACGATTTTTTATTGACGAACTGGTAAAACGAATATATTATGACATAGATATATATAGACAGACTGACAGACAGACAAACAGACAGACAAACAGACAGACAGACAGACAGACAGACAGACAGACAGATAGGTAGATAGACAGATAGATAGATAGATAGATAGATAGATAGATAGATAGATAGATAGATAGATAGACAGACAGACAGACAGATAGATGGATAATATTGTACTTGCCCCTTCTCTGTACAGTTAATGAACTTTACAGACATATTATTTTGACTTGGTGTAAAAATCTCACTGTTAGTTTCGATAACATTTCCTGGAAACATTGTGCTCTCAAGAGAGCTCCATCGGAAAAATTATTCTACTGATGCGCAGAATGTCACCTTAAAAATGTATTTTTTGAATAGCTGTGCCAAACCTTGTTTTGTCAATTTTGTTCTCCTTTTTTTCCTTCTAAACGTGTTTTATACCCCGTATAAAAATATTTAAGTATTATAAAAATACTTTAATTTAGATTACATTATCCGAATTCTTATTCGAATAAAAGTTTTTTGTCTCAAATTTCAATTGAAAGTGTCTTTGATACATGCGCCAGAGGGAGTTGCTAGATCTGTCCAGTCAAGAAGGTTCTGATGACATGTCAAGACAGAAAAACAGGAAGCACTGTATTTTTGCTTTTATTTTTACGAGAAAAAAACCTGTAAGACTCGAAAAACGAATTTTCCATCAACTTGTTATGATTCATCACCTTATAATTTCTCTTTGTAATTTCTTATAATTGCCTTGAACCGAAGATGATTAGAAAAGTGGTGTGTTAAGGAACAAGAATAAAGTGTGTCTTTATAGGAACTTTTTTCTTGCGAATCACAACTGAAGTTCAAAGTCCTTTAATGCAATTGTGTAATGATGCAGTGGAATCAGACGCTAGCCTGTTTCTGGACATAATATGGAGTTATTGATATTGCATTAAAACTTGTTTATTTTTCGTGGGCTCCCGTGGTCGAGAAGTCACAGTGTTCACCTCTCATTCAATAAAACCTGGGTTCCTATCCGGACAGCAACGGACAATTTTCTAGTCTAAAATATTCTCCTTTTACCTTCTTTCCATCTTTCTAACAATGTTCTGTCGTCTGCTTTGTGCCTTCAAATTTTGCCCCCACCCCCTCACCTCCTTTGCTCCCTCTTCTGAGCTCCTGGTTCTTTCTGTAGCATTTCCACTGCTACTCTTTGGCTTTTCTTACTGCTGTCTTTCAGCCACACCCCTGATCTTATGGCAGATAAGATCTAGCACCTAGTCTTCTCGGACAAGGGCGAAAATTTTTGGAAGTTCCGTGTGCAAGTTGCACCCTTAGTGGTCTGAAATCTGAAAGACCAGGCTTTAGCCGTCACCCGGGGAAAATTCAAAATTTCCTACCAACTATAAATGTTTAATGTGTCCCTTGCGCTCATATTGTGACCTTATGCGATTGTGAGCACTGTAAAACACTAACCAAAAAAATGGCAATTCCTCGAAAGCTATATTGATCAATCTTGCATAGAAGTAAAGACATGAGCGATTTAAGAAGCCAGGGGTTATCTGCTGTAACTGGTGAAATTAGCGAGAAAATGACCTCCAAAGTTTGGTCGCTTCTAAAGTTGAATACTCATGCTCTTTCTACCAAATACCTTAACTTATTCTTGACGTAGAAAAACATTGTTAAGTAAAAGTCACCGTAGGACGTTTTATTTGTTTTTAAAAAATTAATGGAGGGAGAATGTTTCTAAGAGAAAAAGGTCGATAGAAATCGACCAACAGTCGGACACATACGGATTTCTCCGTCCCGAAAATTTGACAAACGCTTTGTTCCAGCAAGATGACGCTCAAAGATAAAATCATGTGGACCCATTCAGTCCTCATTCAAGACCTTGGTCACAATAGGGAATGACGAACCTTGACAGACTTAATAGTCTGATTTCAACTTTCAACGTCCAAGTTTTGACTCCACCTACATACACGTACGCGCGCACACACAAACACACACACACACACACACACACACACACACACACACACACACACACACACACACACACACACACTCACTCACTCACACACACGCACACGCATTGTCCACATATTTTTATAACATGTCTTTATGCTTTTGTAATCTAGATTGATTCTTGTCTATTTTTATTTCATATAATAGTGGATTATTTTTTTTACGCAACGGAATCTCTGATTGCAGGCCCAGTTTTGATTGAATCTTGTTCTCCCTATGTGTTTTACAATGTTGACAGCTAAACTGTCGTGCCACAGAAAGAACGTGACTATACTGAAAAACTCAACCACTTCATCAGGGGATCTCTGACTCGCTCTCTTTTCATGTTACGCTTGCATGTGAGCTTGTCCCTTTACAGCAATGGGCGAACACGTTAACGATTTGCAAACAGCAACATTGATTTCATTCCTTGTATTTACAAAGCAATCAAATATTGTTCTCTGTGATAGCGATGTAAATATTGCTTTAAGTGTCGAAATCGCGTTGGTCCACTTTTTCAAACCCTGATTTTGTCTTTCACATCTTTTCTCAGGGACTCGTCGTGTTTTCTTTTCCTGAAGTATTTTTACTTCGAAAAGCTGGGCCATGATGAGTTATGCATGTATTAAACCAGGGCCTGTTCATGAGCTGTGTCAGATATAGTTGGTTAATGTTTCAGTTCGATTTAGTGTTACGTCGCACGCAATTATATATAATATGATCAGGACACAATTCGGTTGTTTTCACGTTAGTTCATAGCACGGCTTTGTTTTACTTTGCAAGTCGGGATGGTTGAATCATCTAAAAATACATAGTAAAAGCGCATTTGTAAATTAACAGTCATTTGTATTTTAAGAAATAGCAACTATATTATACAGTTTGCCACAAAGACCAGTGCTCAATATAAAATCGAAATTTCTGTGAGAATAACTATAGAAAAGATAACTGTTGGTACATGCGCAAAATAACGAAAGCACTTTTGCTTTCTTGGTACGTTTCTTCCTCTAAAAAAGCATTTCCACAAACCCTCTCCAACTAGCCATCTCACCACCCCAACCCCGTTCTCCAACAACTACATCCTCAACCTCCACACCCATCCGTACCCACCCCCCAAAAAAAAGAAGAAGAAGAAGAAAACAAAAACAAAATGGGCACTTTTTCAGCATGCCTAAAATTCAACAACCATTTTTAAGTCCGCGGTGTGTTTTTCAAAGAACGTACGCCAACATGAAAACGAAGCATCCACCCTTCTTCAAAACTTTGTTTCTGTTCAACAGACTTTCAAAGCACTACCAGTTAAGAGTAAAAGGAATGTAAGCCTGTAGGCTTGCACAGATGTGTTTTTCAGCGCCCTCTTTTTTCGGGGGAAGGGGGGGGGTTGCTTTTTTAAACCAAAATTTAGAATTCCCGATCTGAGTCGCCCAGTCTCATGTGTTCCAGTGCACTAGCGCCCTTTTCCTTATTTCGGGAACGGCTTGATTTCTCGAATTCCTCTAAAAGATCGCCAAAATCGCGAATTCAAGTCTCGTGAGAAGATAATCCGGTGTATGCACTAAACACATCGTTATAATTTGCACCTGTTTGCCCCTTAAACCTCTACCCACCAAGTGTTAGAGTCAACACATCACTATGACTTATCTCTTGTTGTTTCAACAGGAAACACAGTAGCGGCGATCTCCACAGCCGTTTGAAGACTCGGAAATTGCTTGGAGTTGGGGAAACGGACGATGGAGACATTCACAGATCAAAGGTATGTTTGGAGCTTGTAGATCGATTTGACTTTACTTTTGGTTACTGAGCTTTTAGCGTAATTCTGTCTGTGAGTATGGAGCCCCGGTTTACCCGCAGCGATAAATCGAATCAGATTCGTCTAAAATGTGAAATGTCAACTCTATCAAGCCGCTTATTCTGTTTACATGTTCCACTCTATCGTTCACTTTGCTTTCGATTGGGAATTGGGAATTGGGAAGATACCTCTTCCTTGGAACACGAACAGATGACGTCATTTCATAATTTATTCCTACGCCGGTGGTCAATGAATATCGCCTTATGGTCTTGATATGACTAAGCGTCCCCCATTGATACAATTTTAAACAAAAAAGACATATTTGCTTAAAATTTAAATATTGATTAAATACTGGTTCTTAACAAGGCACATCTCTCATTTTGATACTGTGATTCCGAAGACTAAATGGGCTTTTAACTGAGATAATTATTCTAAAGATTTTGTACGCACAAGTTTAATTCGACGAGGCGGCAAAATTTCCATGGGATTCAAAGTCCTGTTCACGTCTCTAAAATCTGAATAGGAGACACAAAAAGTATTAGCCTCGCTTGATTTCTCGATTAAGTCTCCAATACATCAGCCATCGGCCAATGTTTATTTAATTTTTCGGTAACAGATAATTATTGGTCTAATGAACGACTTATCCTCCCAATTTTCTACAGTATTTTGTTAGTTGTGACAAGACCTTTACTCTATGACATTGTCTACATGAAGAGTATCATTATTCAACGCTATATATTTTTGGCGAGATAAAGGTTTGTTCTTTGTTTGCTTGTTGATGTTATTTTGTTGCTTTTTTTTGTTTATTCCTTTGATATTATTTTAATTACTTTACGTCTCAGTCCCTTGGTCAATCTCCTAAAAAGCCCTATTTGCTCTAATGCCAGAACCTGTATGAACCAGTATTGTATTTCAATGAAGTGGAAAATATCGACGGCGTTTAATGCAAAAAAGGGGAGAAACACAGGGTGAACACGAAAGGAGAAGAAAAGAAGTAGCAACACACTCCAACCACGTTCTAATATGTGATGTAATTAGATTTTTAAAAACCAAGCAACGGTTTTGTTGTTCGTGTAAACATGTAACGCCCAACCGGATGGTAATGAAGTATTTTCGAAACAGGAGGATTTGATTTCAGTTCCAGGACATCGTACTCAAAGTAAATATTCAGGAAAGGACGAAAAACATGAACCAATTTGGAACCCTCTGAAGAATGAACCTGGAAGTTATTTAGCAGCAAAAGTGGAAAGAATTGACAGTTAAGTCTAAGAGAGCATACTTACAACTCAGCGTGTGATCTCTTTTAGCTAACTGAAGAAAATGACAGACCACAAAAATAGAAGAAAAAGGGTATTTAGATTCACATTCCACATGCTTCTAACTATTTTTAAAAAGTAGCTGAATCTGGATCGTAGTATACAACATTGTTTACAATACAGATATATTGCTCAACTTTAATACAGTAAAAATAAAAATTCCTGTTCTTAATTTAATGGAAACCCGAGTTTTGTTACGCAAATCTATTTGTTTATATTCACACACTTGAAGGTACCACAGTATTTCTGGCTTTATGTGAATACCTGTTATTGTTACTTAGCAGCAAAATGTGTAGGATTTGATAACGAAACGTAACGTTAAGACAGCATTCAGTGACACACCAGAAGCACACTCAAACTCACAGATAAACACACAACACACACACACATCACACACACACACACACACACAGACACACACACACCGAGAAAAAAATATAGTTTTGAGAAAAATTGAAAAAAACAACAACCGAATTCACACTGGTCTATTTCAATAAAAAGTTCACAAACATGGCGTAATAATATGTGAGCACTTTATAGATGTTTTAGACTCTTGAAAATATTTCCAATCTATAAGGCATATATTGCTCAACTTAAATAGTCCAAAATCGAAAAATCAGTTTGGATAACAAAATCTATTTTTTCTGGCTGTCAGCAACTGACTGCCGTGGTGTATCTAAAGACGGAACATTACGAGTATAACTAAAAATACACACGTCCGTGAGCCGTGCTTTTAATTATATTTAGATCGGTTTTCGTAAGTCTTAGTGTTTCACGGCACTTGCAACACAGTAAGGTCGTATAAGTGCCGAAGAATAGATGTGTTGCAAGAAAGTAACATACACAAACTAGAAGGAGGAGAGATTAGGATGATCAATATTTGAAATAGGAAAGACGAAGCAAACCACACCAAACACCCGCCAACCAACCACCTGTAGAATTGTGTAAGTGTTTGTATATGTTTATGTATGTATGTATGTGTGTGCATTCCGTGATTGTTAGTGAAAGGGGGGGGGGGGTATTGTGTGTGGTTGTGTGTGTCTAATTTTACATGTGTAATTGTATTTGTGGATCTGTTTTTCTATGCGTGTGCTTTTCTGTGTGAGTGTATAAATATTGTGCACACGAGTGAATGGTGTTCGCTCTTCATGTCTTTTGGGGTTGAAGGTATTGGCCCATACAACTCAGCGTGTGGGAAAATGAGACCAGGCCGTGGAGGAAGGAATAAGGACTGGGATTTGAGTGCATAGTTTTGGAATCATTAAGGTCTCTGTGTCAAATAATGTTTGTGCAAAGCACATTACAATATTGTTAGTCTTTCAAGCGTGTCTATCATTTAAAAGTTTCCCTTTCTTTTTAGAGAGTTAAAAAAAATTTGTTTCTTTTAATGACTACTTTTTCCGTTGTTTGTTAAAATGCATGAACGAATTTTCATAATGCGCCCCTGTGTAGCCTAAGGGCAAAATGGGGGGGGTGCTTTAATTGAGGAATAGCTTTTCTATCCGTTAGCTGTTCTTGGTTGCATGTTACTAATGTTAGGGTAATTTTCATTTTAAAAATGGCAGTCATATCTGACCCATTTTAGACACTAATATTGGCTGGGCTTGCTTTACAAATTTTAATCTTGATAGTGTTAATCATTTATGTGCTTCGAATACGACATTTAACCACTCAACCTCACCCCACCCCATGTCAGAAGGGACCATTTTCTCTGCAACAACTCAACACTAGCTGTTAGTTTGGAGAGATGTAAAAGAAAGCAAAAGTATTCTGTAAAGGCAATGCAAAAACTATGAGGAATTCTAACTATTTTTAAAAAGTCATTATTAATGATTTTCAGCTTTCAAAATCTGGGTATTTGGTTTAAAGATCAGTCTGCTAGTTAATGCACGCCCAAGACGTGAGGGAGATTCCCATTTCAGAAGTTAATTTCATGGAGTACGTCCATCGTTCTGCTTGGATGCTGCATCACGCTCAGCTCGGGTTAACCCTTACAACCGGGGTCGAAGCAGCTCACAAGTAAAGTAATCTATATTTCGGAAGGAACTTTAACGTTAACAGTCAATCCATTAACCTACAAAATCCCGACCTTGTCTTTCGAACTTCCAGGAGGCGACCTTTCTCCTTCAACGATATAACAGTATTTGTAATTCTTGAGTTCTTTTTCCAATTTAATTTGGGGCCCAAGAAAAACGCTGCGCGGGAACTGATAGAACAGCTCACAACTGACATACGAGCTGCTATTTCTGTGCGAGGGAAACCTTTTTGGAAATCTTTCCGGAATTGATTTCTACCGTCCCCAACCCCTATTTCTGACCCTCGATAACCCTCAAGTATCTTCTTTCCTCGTTTTTTCTTCGACACTCTGACGCTTTGTTTTCCTTTAAAGCGCTGTGTTCTCTTCTCTTATCTCTCTCTCTCTCTCTCTCTCTCTCT